GGGTTTCAAGCCAAGCCTCCAATTCCACCATTGAAGGAAAGCTTTTGGAATTGAGGTATGATAGTTTTCATCCATGGGGCGCTTTCCTCCACGGAGTTCCCAAATTCTCCAATTTACAAAGTTAGAATTCCCCAATTGAGTTAGGGTTTTCTTCCATGCTGTGGCTTCTTTTGAAATATTGATTTATTCAATTTTTTATGATCTATCAAGCATGAATTGAGATAATTTCATAATTTTATGATGAATTCCCACGAACCCATGTCTATCCCATGTTTTCTAGATATTGAAGATTGAAAGTGGGTTTTGAACTATGAAAGGAGAATTATGGAATTTTGCATGTTTTTATGAAATTGATGAGATATGATGTAGATTTCTTTAAGATTAAAATCATATATATTGTCATTGTAGTTAATTGTTGTGAAATAGTTGCTCACATAACTAAATCATGCATGAATGTAAAAGTTTTCTTACATAAAGGATTCTAAGGTTGAAAGGTCATCTCACCTAAAATGAATCAAAGTTAAGGAGCTATTCTAATGAAACCTAGCTTGGATTGGTTATTAAATTGTATTTTTGTATGGATGACATATGACTTAGCTTGGATTGGCAATATGACATGCCCTTCCATGTATAATAACTACAAGTTAAGAAAATGACTATTATGTGGGATTTATGCTTACCACCGAGAGGATAGTGAGATGGGAGCTCTCCCGTTAGTAGAGGCTGGTCTCTAGTAGAAATCTCCTTATCCCATACCTATGTTCCCCCATAGTATGATTGTCTAGATAGACATTAGCTAGTTGATCCACACATAACCTAGAAGTTCATGGTCTTACCTTGGCAAGTAGGACACCTCTTTTCGGTGTGGGGCAAATACCAAATTCTGTGTTGATAGCTCACTTGGTCTTATATGTCGGTTAAAGGTAAATCTACCACAATTATGAACTAAGGTTACTTCAAGAAGTATCTCACATGTGTTCTAAAATGATGTTATTTTCATTGACCATGATTTATGACTTATTCCCTCTAGTTCTTTTGCATTCATGATTTAGCTTGGTCATGGCACTTAATGAAAATGTCCTCTTTCTCCTGTTTTCAAATGTTTTATGCATGACTATCATACTTGGTATATATTTTGTAGTAACACACACTCATGCCTACATTTCTCTTAATGCAGGGACCAATCTTAAAAATTCACACTTTCGTGGCAAGGGATCTCATATAGTAGACTTGAAGTTTGGTGAGTCTTCATATTTAGAAGACCGAGCTTGATTTCCCTTTTGTCTTTACTTTTAGTTTTGGAACTTAATGTATGGTCTACGCCCTGATAAAATCTTATGCACTTGATGGCTTCGAGCCGATGTTTAGATTTCTGCTTTTCTCTATAAAACTTTTCTATGTTGAAATTGTCTTTTTAATATCTTTATTCTATTAACTTGTATGATGAAAGTTAAGTGGCTTGTATGGGGCCTTTCGGGGTCTTATACCCCATGTTACGCCTAGGGGCTACCTTGGGTCGTTACAGTTCACCATTAGGAAAGTATGATTTATACATGTGCTTAGTTGTATGTATTTACATAGGAATGTTAAGTTGTTATATGATTACATCTTCTAGAGTCTCAAATTGTTTTTATCCTAACTGTGGTTCAATAACATTGATATACTCATGGTTACAACTTTCAGTCTTACATACAAGTTGATTTCATTCGTACAATGTTCTTTTCACGGGGACGCTTGATGAGTGGTATATTTACACTTATTTGAGGTCCTTTTATTTCAACATTAGTGTCCTTAATTCCTATTAATGTCCTATTTTAATGATATGTTTATGTTTTGTAGCTATTAAGGATAAAGGACAAGGAAAATATGAATACATGAAAAAGAGGTCAAAAACATTGAAAGGAAAACTCTAAATTGGCTGCCTAACTAAAAGGGCGAATCACCCAATTGGAGAGATCTGGCCTCAGTTGATAGTATTCACAATTGAAAATATTCAAGGCAGGTCGGTGATGAAGCTGAGAATTTGACTCATTTAGGGCTTGATAATTATAGTTTAAGGCCCTAATTTGCCTAAATTATGCTCTAAATAGATACTTATGTGTTGATTTGTATCTAGGAAGACAAAAGAGCAAGAAAAGAACATTAACAAGCAAAAGAGAGAAGAAAAACAAAGCTGACGATCGCCAAAGCCATTTGGCGGTTCGCCGAGTGGCATCTTAGCCCACCCAATGTTATAGTGTGCCAGACCTTGGATGAGGGACATTGAGAGATGGAACACACCTTTTGGCGAATCACTAATTTAATCGATGAAGGGGTCCCAGTCCACCGAATGTTACAGGACCACTGGTGAACATGCATACACAAAAGGGTAATCAGAAAGGATAGAAGGTGCATCACCGATCAGATCGGCGAGCTCAGCCTAGATCACCTAATCTTACAACACAAAAGGGGTGAGAACTCAAGATAAAATGGCGATGGATAGAGGCATTTGGTGAGTCGCCGACCTGTTCGGCGACACACGACTTATACCACCGAATGACCCTGAGGGCCTATCTAAAAGCGTATAGGTTGATTATTAAAAAGAGATAAGGGTATTCTATTATTGTTAGACTTGGAGCTTTTAACTGAAACATTGTTTTTGCTTAGTTTTAAATAGTTTTCTAGTAGAGTTTGAATTGGGTTTTGGAATTGAACCTAAATGGAAGCATTGTAAAGACTCACAGATTAATACCTAACTATGAAGAACATAATTTATATTGATTTCATACTTTTTATAATATGTGGCTAAAACCCCTAGTCTTGGGGGTGTGGTTATGTGATTAATTGCCTTAATTAGCTTATGGGTATTAGTAATTAATGATTTAGTTGCTGTTCTGAAGAGGGTTTGATTGGTAATTGAGGTTTAATTTATGAATTATAGTTGAAGAATGCAATTCTAACTTAGTATTATATGCTTGCTTTAGAAAGAGGTTTTAGAATTAAGATTAGCAATTGATAATTGTAGTGATTGGGTATTTGCGGGTTCAACTCGAGAGAGTGAATCCTAATTCAATCCTACCTATCTAGCTCAAGATAGTAGATAAATTGAGGTAGTGGGCTGCTTTTAGTTTGATGCTTGTTGAGGTTCGAGATAACTCACTTGATTCGTGGTAGTTTATCGATATATGTCTATTACATCAAAAGCCTAGCCTACCCACTTAGATTCAACAACTTTTAGTAATTGCAAATCACCCCTATAACGAAATTGGCAATTAGTCGATCACATCCCCAAGTATCCCTATTGACTTGATTTCTCCCCTGTTCTCTTAGTTGTCAATTGACAAACATTATTCCCCATTTGACACTTGTTGTCAACCCCTTAGATTTTAATTGAATGATTTTGATAATTCCTATTCCTACAACTCCTTAGAACATGTCTTTCACTTGGTAGCTGAATTCTAACTTATATCACTCTCTGTGGGATCGACCCCAATAATTTGTTGGGCTTATACTAGATTGTGATCGCCTACATGTATTGGATGAGGTGTAGTTGAGCGTTATAAAAAATGGCGCAGCTGCCGGGGAGTGGTGTGTAAAATTCTCTTATTGAAGGATAGTTGTGATCTAATCTTGTTTGTAGTTTAATCGACTTACTTTACTTGAAATTTGTGGTTACATGTCTTTGAGCACGTGACAAAATGAGTGAGAACGGAAGCACCAAGATGACTACCAAGATGATGTTGGCAACTTGAATAATGCCATTGAAGCTCACTTGGGTAGCGTAGGTGCTATTCACATACCTTCGGTTGTGGGATATGCTGCATTCCATATGACAAGCATGATGCTACAACTATTGCAAATGAAAGGTGTATTTAGAGGGCTGGATCATGCGGATCCTCATGAGCATGTTCAAAACTTTGTGGACATATTTGGCCCATTATCCCTCAAGAATATCTCACAAGAATCAGTCCGGCTTTGGTTGTTCCCGTTTTCTTTAATTGGGGAAGAGACCGAGTGGTTATCGAATCTACCAAGGGACTCCATTTCGTCTTGGGAAGAACTTACCGAGGTATTTTACACAAGATTTTTCCCAACCTCGAAGATGGTGAAGTTGCGAGACAATATTCAGAACTTCAAGAGAGTATACGGAGAACTGATTCATGAAACATGGCTGAGATTTCAAAAGTTGTTGCAGTGTCCAACTCATAGGCTTCCGGGTAATGTGATACTACAGTACTTTTACCAGAGTTTAGAGTCAATGAACAAAGGAGTAGTTGACCAGCTTTTTCGAGGAGGGATAATGTTACAACCATTTGAAGTAGCATCCTCCCTTCTTGATGAAATGATGAATATTAATCGGGCTTGGTACACTCAAGAGGACCAAGTATCTCCATTGAAATTTAGGATGAAAAACAAACAAATTGATAAGGAGAAAGAGCGGGATGAGAATATTAGCAAGATGATGTCCCAAATGGAGTTGTTGCGGAAACATGTGTTAGAAAGCGTTGATGAAAACAAAGAGGTCAAAATAGTGTGTAGGCTTGAAGTGGGTTCTTTCCTGAGCTCTTTAAAGTCAGGTGGGAATCAAGGTTGGAACGCACTTACTAAAGAAGAATGGAGAGAATACAATCAAGGTTTGGCTGATCAAAATGACTTTTAGAAGAGAGAAGACAATCATGAGAAGTATCACACGCTAACATATGACAGCCCAAGGTCAAAAGGTAGTTTAGGATGTCTTCGAGTGGATAATTTGTTGTCGCGCATGCTAGATAAGGTTAAAAGGTCTGATGACATGCTTAAGGAAATTAAGGCTGATTTCTCATCATTGGATAAAAAGGTCAATTCTCATGTGGATTCTATTAAGCAACTTGAAAGTCAAATGACCAAACTTTCAGCCCAATTAGAACCCAAGTTTTTAGAGAAGAGTGTAGATGAGTACACGACAAGTTCAATGGTTGATCATGACAAAGGCTTGGCAGTGGTTACACGAAGGTGGAAAACAATAGGTGGTGGGTGATGTGATGGTAAATTATGGGACAAACACTTGTGAAGAAGAGAAAGACACCATTGAGGTAGAGAGGTCCACTCAAGCACCAAAAAATTACATGCTAAAAAAGAATGAAGAAAACCCAAGGCAAAGCACCACCGAGGAGCTGCAAATAGGTAAAGAAAGGGCTGCATCATCTCCAAAGTTAGTGAAACCGTTACCCAAAATCAATCCCCCATTCCCTCAAAGGCTCAAAAAGAGAAATGATGGTGAAAAATTCAAAAAAATCCTATCTGTGTTCAAGTCGCTTTCCATAAACCTTCCATTAGTGGAAGCATTGGTTGAGATGCCGGGGTACATGAAATTCATGAAGGAGCTAGTCACTAAGAAAACAAGTATGGATTTTAAAAAAATTGAAGTCTCTCACAATTCTAGTGTCGTTATGACTAGCAATGTGATCACAAAGAAATAAGATCTGGTGGCATTTACTATCTTGTGTACCATTGGTATGCTTTAGTTTCCCAAAGAGTTATACGACTTGGGGGCAAGTATAAACTTGATGCCATATGCCATCTTCATGCAACTTGGGTTTGGTGAACCAAAATCAACAACAATGCTACTGCTTATGGCTGATCCGTCTATCAAACACCCCACTAGAATACTTTATGATATATTGGTGAAGGTGGATAGATTTATCTTTCCAGGTGACTTGGTTATTTTGGATTGTGATATTGATGCAGAGGTGCATATTATTATGTGTAGACCATTTTTGGCAACTAGAAGAGCTCTAGTGGATGTTGAAAGTGGTGAGTTGAAGTTCAGGGTAAATGAAGAGGAGGTTACCTTCAATGTGTGCAAATCACTAAGGCAACCTAGTGACATTCATGTAATTTCAACAATTGATATGATTGATGAAGCAATGGCTAATGTGAGTTAAATGATGTGTATGGGTGAACCTCTTACAGCTATCATTTTGAATTAAGATGAGACCAAAGTTTAAGGGTATGATGAAGTAGTGGCTGCTCTATCAGGACTACATGTTTATGCAAGAAACCCAGTGAAGCTTGATATTGATTAAAAAAATCGAGAGAGTCCCCCTGCCAAACCATCCACGGAAGAACCTCCAAAGTTTGAGTTGAAAGCACTTTTATCTCATCTTCAGTAAGTATTTTTGGGAGAAAACAACACTTTACCCATCATCATTTCAACTGACTTGCTTGAATGGCAAGTGAAATTACTTGTAGTGGTGTTAAAGTGATACATCAAGGATATAGGTTGGACAATTGCTGATATTGTAGGTATTCCCCTGGATATTTGCACTCATAAAATTCAATTGGACAACGAATACAAACCGAGTATTGAGCATCAAAGACGGCTAAATTTTTCTAGGCAAGAGGTGGTAAAGAAGAAATCATTAAGTGGATAGATGCAAGTGTAGTATATTCGATTGCGGATAGCAAATGGTGAGCCCTGTGCATTCCAATGAAATGAGGGATCTTTGTAGTTCCAAAGAAAAAAGGTAAACTTGTTAGCGGGTATGCATGGATTAGCGGAAGCTAAATGCATAGACCGAGAAAGAATATTTTCCAATGTCGTTTATGACCCAAATGTTTGATAGGCTTGCCGGGCGTTGGTGGTATTGCTTTTTGGATGGTTATTTCGGATACAACCAGATTTCCATTGCACCGGAAGACTAAGAGAAGACCACTGTCACATGTCCCTATGGGACATTTGATTTCAAAAGGATGCCTTTTGGGTTATGTAATGCCCCGACAACATTCCAACAATGTATGCTCTCTATTTTCTACGTTATGGTGGAAGATTCAATGGAAGTATTCATGGATGATGTATCAGTCGTTGGTGATTCATTTGAAGATTGTCTCGAACATCTTGGGCTAGTGCTACAAAAGATGTGTAGAAACCAACCTAGTTCTAAATTAGGAGAAGTGTCATTTCATGGTAAATGAGAGAATTGTCTTGGGGCATAAAGTTCTAGGAGAAGTCATGCAAGTGGATCAAGCTAAGGTTGAATTCATTGCCAAACTTCCCCCTTCTATCTCGATAAAAGGTGTCCGGAGTTTTCTAGGCCATGCTGGCTTCTATAGAACGTTCATAAAGGATTTATCCAAAATAGCACACCCTCTTTGCAAATTGTTAGAAAATGAGTCAACTTTGAATTTGGATGATGCTTGTCTAAAGGCATTTTAATGTTTGAAAGACAAGTTGGTGTCAATCCTAATCATTATTACCCCTGATTGGTGTATTATGTTTGAGCTCATGTGTGATGCTATTGGGGTAGCTTTAGGGGCTATTCTTTGCCAATGAAAAGGGAAATTGTTTCATGCAACATATTATGCAAGTAAGACCCTTAATGTGGTGTAAAAAACCTATACCGTCATAGAGCAAGAATTATTGGCGGTAGTGTATGCATTTGAAATGTTAAGAGTGTACCTTTTGGGAACCAAAGTGATGGCAGATACAGATCATGCATCCATTAGATACTTGATGGCTAAGAAAGGTGCAAAACTAAGGTTGATTTGATGGGTCTTATTGTTGCAAGAGTTTGATTTTGAGATAAAAGATCAAAAGGGGTGTGAAAATCAAGTGACGGATCATTTGTCGCGGTTGAAAACCAATATGATTTATCCCAACGAAAGGGACATTGTAGCTGAATTTCCAGATGAAACAGTGATGCGGGTAACCCAAAGTAGTACTCTTTGGTATGCTGATCTTGCTAACTTTGTAGTGTGTTGCATAGTGCCCGAAGGTCTGAATTTCTACCAATAAAAGCGGTTCTTGTTCGATGTAAATAAATATTTCTAGCATTAACCATATATATCAGAGAATGTGAAGACAATTCGTCGATGCATACCAGAAGAGGAAGTCAATGAAATTCTCAATGCTTGTAATGCCTCACTTGTTGGTAGACATCATAGTGGGGTGCGAACAACAACAAAAGTTCTTAAAAGTGGCTACTATTGGCCATCACTATACCGAGATGCACATGAGTTCTTGAAACAATGCATACCTTGCCAAAAGCAACGAGGAGTAACACGAAAGCATGAATTGCCTCTTAAACTCATTCGAGAAGTTGAGTTATTCGATGTTTAGGGTATCGATTTCATGGGTCCATTTGTAAGCTCTTTTGGAAACAAGTACATTTTGGTAGAGGTTGACTATCTCTCCAAATGGGTGGAAGCTGTAGCATTACCCAACAATGAAAGTAAGAGTGTTGTGCGGTTCGTAAAATGATATATTTTTGCTCGATTTGGTATCTCGCACGCTATCATCAGTGATGGAGGATCTCATTTTTGCAACCAGATATTTTCTTTATTGTTGAGCATATACCAAGCATAAAGTTGCAATTCCATATCATCCACAAACAAGAGGCCAAGTGGAAGTTTCAAACCGGAAGATAAAAGTATTTTGATAAAAATGGTGAATGCAAGTCAGATGGATTGGTCTAAAAAATTGGATGATTCTCTGTGGGCATATCATACTGCGTTCAGAACATTGATTGGTATGTCACCCTATCAGTTAGTGTTTGGAAAGTTGTTTCACCTGCCAATTGAGCTTGAACATAAGGCTCTATTGTCACGACCCAAGCCTAGGGCCTAGACGTGACATGGCGAATGAGGAACCCGAAGGAACCCCAAACAAGCCTCTCAAACTTGTCATCACACTTCATCGGTCGCGGAAGTACTTTCAACATTAATTAACGGGAAATAGGGACTAAGGGCAAACCATTTCAAAATGACATCATAGAACAAGAGTCAAGCTCATTTACAAAATACCTGTCCAACGCACACCTCTACATACATAGATAGGACGGGGGCCATGACATACTACCGGCTCTCCTCATAGTCAAAATACAATTGCAAGCTAAAGTCTCAAAACATAGGAGTAGGAAACATAACATAGCCCTCGAATCATTGAGGACTCACCAACAAACTAGGATAAGCACCGTACTAGCCACGTGAATGGAGAGAAGGATCAAGAGTAGCTCCGGTCCCTACATGGTGACATCATGTAGGCAAAATATGCGTTAGTACTTGGAATGTACTAAGTATGCGGGGTGCAACACAACAATAGACAATGACACAATCGAAATACAAGAAATAGTTTCATAGGCATTATGAATAACAATATGAGGATGCATGATCAAAGTGAAGTCAAAACATGTTTAAGTAAATCTATACTAATAGTAGATATCATATGTGTATGCATGATCCAACCAATCTATAACCCCAACTTAGGATGGGGGATGCCGTTCACACCCGGACACCCTGGTGGCAAGGTATAAACCCCTCACATGGTTGATGTTGGTCACACCCCAAGCATCCTAGGTGGTGAGATATAAACCTCTCACATGGTTGATGTTGGTCACACCCCAAGCATCCTAGGTGGTGAGATATAAACCTCTCACATGGTTGTCCGGTTCTTTTCCCCCGGACCGGGCATGGTCATGCAATACTTTATATAGGAAATTCCCATTAGGCTCTAATGCAATCTCACGTATGGAATGAACATATACACAAGCTTAGTTTGTCATCAACACATCTCTGGATTGCCATACATATCATAACTCAAGCTTTAAAGCATCGATTCATCAATTCTCCATAGTTGGACATTTATTCAAACACTTTGAAGGCATGTAATGGAATCAAAGAGCATGGAAAATAGGGTAGTAATTATGCAGCCAAACCAGTGAACAACCTACAACAACACCTTTTTAACACCCACAATACCACATGAAAATCTCCACATCCATTCCAAATTTAGGTTCAAGTTCTAGAGTCACAACATGCTCAAAACAATCACTTTTCATGTTTAAAATTCAATGTGCAGGAAATTATTACAAGAACAAGACTAATTTATAAATCTTAACTTAAACCATGAATTAGTGAGTAGATTAGAGTCTAGGCACTATGGGTGGAAGGACCCATGAGTTCAACACCACATACCTTTAGTTTTTATGAAGGTCTTGAGAGTGTCTTCAATGGAAGCTTGGAACTTGGAGCAAGAGTCTCTTCAATCTTGAGGAAGGTTTTGGATTAGGGTTCTTGAGAGAACTTGAGAGAAAATGTGTCTAAGTATGGGAGAGGTGTTTTGGGAAATGTTTTAGAGATGGGAATTGAACTAATGGTATATAGGAAATAACATATGCCCTTTGGAAAAATGGTCCAACACTTATAAAAAAAAAATGAGGCGGGTTAACAGTAAAAACGCTCACTGGAAATTGCATTTCCTGCCGGACAGATTTTACGAAAATGGGCATAACTTCTTCGTCCGAACTCCGAATGAGGTGAAACGAAGTGCGTTAGGTAGCTAACTCCAAGGGATTTCCATGGATATTTCATGGGCCACCCAATAATTTGTGTGCTAGGAGATATGACCCTCCAAAGTAGACCCTCGAAAAAGGCTTCACTTGGAAATTTTGGATTTTGATACGGTTGCTCTAAAATTTGGGTTAGACCCATTTCCCACTCAATTTGAACCCCTAAACAAGAATATGAATTCGGATTTTCGAAAAATGAAACAGATTTTTTTATATATAGCTAAACAAGTTTCCGGTAACTTCCGAAGCACATTTTTTAAGAACATTTTGGGTCATTTCAATATCTCCCCCTTGGGAACATTCGTCCCCGAATGTGGAAGAGACGTACAAGGCAAGACTTAGTAAGAACATATCAGCCCCAACATGAATGCAAATTTTTTATTTAAACATCACTTCAAGATTTCAAAACTTAGTGTAAAGCATCCATAACTCATCAATTTAAACATATATGCACATTAATGATTCAGGGGCTGAAATGTAAGACTCAATGGAGTACAAAGGACTTGATTTAATACCTTAGGCTTGAGTGGAGTTGAATAGATAAGGATAACGTCTTTGCATGTCCGCTTCGGCCTCCCAAGTAGCACTCTCCACTTGTT